TTTTTTGCCAAATGAACACTATTGTAGATTTTTCATAGAAATATTTTATTAACTTGTCTAAGTCATGTGCTAACAAATGTTATGTTTTTCGTTTCCTGAGAGGATATGTTAAAATGTCCCATTGTAATTATGGATTTTGAAATAAACTTTGCAGTTCTCTTCATTTAATCATTATACATTATGAGTCAATTTTATCATTGCGTTCAAGTTCAGGTAATTTTTTCTGAGGCTTATACAGTTTTTGTCATGACACTAATTTTTATTCACTTGTAATACCAAAAACCTTAAATCATGGTTTTCTGTAGGACCCTCTTGCCAGTGACCTGCAGGAGTATGCCTGTATTCAAAGAGGAGTGTATTATGAATGCTGTAATAAGAGTGACCACAAAGTACACATGACTGTGGGGTGAAACATAAAAGGTTGCCAGGACTTTGATATTTGTCTCGTGTTAGATGATTTGATGGCTATGCAAATCACTAGAACATTTTTGTATATTGAATGCTATGAGGAGATAAACATATTATTGATAATCATAAACTTTGTTTTCTAGAAGGCAAAAAACATCATAATGAAGCTAAATTGAATTTGTAAGAAGCCCCAGTCAGTCATATCAGTAAGAAGAGGGCAGTATTGGTCATTTTTATAATTTGGAATTGTCACTTTTACCATTTTTGAAATGTGGTTACAAAATATATTTATTTTTGTCTTTGTCCATCATGGTCACCAGGAACCTTTGATGAAGGAGGTGTGTGACATTTCTTTTCAACAGAATAAGAGATGGCATTACAAAAATTGTAGGCTAGCTCCCCGTCCTTATGTCTTTAGTACTCATCTGAACACTGATGTATTTCCTGTGTTATAGTACACCATTTACCGTAGGGGTGTCAATTAAAATATATAAATTCACTTCTTGATATACTACATAATATTTTTAATACTGTTTTTTATGACTCAACTAAGGACTATAATTTAGGTAACTTGCGAGAGAACACGAACCTAGCAAGGGATAAAGGACCACTGGTCTCATCAAGCATTTTTTGCTAAGAGACTATACTCTTGATGCTCATGTTTCAACATCCCTCATTGCCATGCACTTTAGAGTCATCGTATCCAACATGGCACAAATAATCAAGGTACTGTAGGATTTGGATACAACAGCAGTCCTGGTGCTTATATTTTTGTAGGAAAAGAGATGCATAACAAATGATATAGATTTAGTTTACAGGATGGAAATAAAGGCTTTGAAGGAAATTAAAAAGTGTCGTGACACAATAGGGAGGCTGGGGTGTGTGTAGTTCTTTTCTATGAGGATACGAACCTCAGAAAGTGAGGATTTCATTATTGATTACTTATATTTCGACCATGTAACTCATATTAAACACTTTTTCAGGAACTGCTCGGGTATGAAAATAGAGGGCAGCAATACAGAATTCCTCCTTTTTTTGATTAACAGTAAAGATTCTCCATAAAGGTAAAGATATAGACATGGCCCATCTTCACTTTTACCATCATTACAAATTTTGTGTATATATCATGTAGTCATTAGTTTGGGCATTGTTATCTGAGACTTGAGACTTTCTACTGAATTTGACCATAAATATTTGTGGTGTCTTAGTGTTTCAGGACATTTGAGAAGATTTTCATTTATCTTTAAATATTTAAAATGTCATAGTATTTGGCATTTTCATATTAGTGCTGTATACACTGACAAAGTGTATGCCCCATACGCCATGGAGTCTTCTCTTTAACTTGATACAAGTAGTGACATCAGTCTTGACATCAGATTCCATTGTTATCAAAAAAGATCTATGATAAAACAAAGTAATTCATCAAAATATTTTTAGCATGAAAAACACATGTTCAGAGTAAAGAATTTTTATAAGATGAGGATAAGCTCCAAATGCGGAGATCTCAACATGATAATATTTCTAGATACATTGGTCACACACAAAAAGAATCTTTGAAAACATATATCGGGTCACTAGCAGCAGAATCAACCAATGAAAATGGTACAGTGTCACAAGGAAAAATATAGAGTAACAGAGTGATGGGTGGGTTTTTTTTCTGATATGTAAGGAGCTCTAAATGATCATTCTCATATTCCAAACAAGAAAAAAAAAAAAAATGAGGAACCTGAAAAATAGCACCTTTTTGTAGATCTTTGAGAAATTCGAGATCACATGGTAAAGCAATGCCCACAAAATGAAAGACAGCTGACTAAAGGGAAATACTGCCAACCTAGAGGGGAAACAAGAGGAGCAGCAACCTCTAGAACACATAAACTGTCAATGACAAATTAGTTGTAGACACCATGTGAACTAGTTCGAAAGTTAAAACTTTAGGGGGTCCAGTCTTAGGGAACCCCTCAAAATTCATGAATTTTTCAAAGGAGCTCAAGCAGGTTCTCACTGTGAAGACTAGAATAAATTGTCAATGTACCTTACACCATTGAACCATACACTCTAAAAATGTTGAGATGTGCAGAATACTACTTGGCCATAAGAAAGGATGAAATACTGGTATTTGTGGCAACATGGATGGATCTTTTGACTATCATGCTACGCAAAATAAATGAGATGGAAAAGGACAAGAACCATGTGATTTCTCTCACTTTACATAGTTACTTTGTGTGTTTGATGAGAATGCTTGTTAATCCACATGTGGGATACAAAACAGAAAGCAACTAATGAACAAAGAGAACAAACTCATAGACAACAGTATGAAGCTTACCTGAGGGGAAGAGGAGTGGGGGGAGAATGAAGAGGGTCAAAAGCGTCAAATATATGATGACAGAAAGAGACTAGACTTTAGGTGGTGAGCACACAGTGTAATATACAGATATATAACATATAATGTTATTAACCTATGTCACCCAAATTAATTTAAAAAGTCAAAAATGTAAATGTTATGGCATGTGCATATTACCCTATTGAAAGTAAAAATTTCAAAACAACAAGGTGAAAACAGAACCCACAGCATAGAGAAAATTTTTTCAATTCATATATCTGATGCGAAACTTGTATAGAAACTATCTAAAAACCCTCTTATAACTTAATTATAAAAAGTCAAATAAGTCGACTTAAAAATGGCAAAGGATTGACTACACATTTTTCCTAGGAAGATAAACAAATGGCCAGGAGCACACGAAAAGATGCTGGACATCATTTGTCATCAAGGAAATGCAAATCAAAAAATCAATGAGATACCACTACGCAACCTCCAGGATAGCTAGAATCAAAAAGCGAGATAAAAACAAATGTTATCGAGGACATATGGAGAAACTTTAACCCTCATGCACAGTGGTGCAAATATGAAATGGTGGAACCATGCTGGAAACCAGCCTAGGAGTTCCTCAAAAATTAATCCCAGAATTACCATATGATCCATCAATTATTCTCATTCTTATATGCCCAAGAAAAATGAAAATACATGTTCAAACAATAACTTGTACATGAAGTTCATAGTAATGTTATTCATAGCAGCCAAAAGATGGAAACAAGCCAAATGTCTGTGAATAGATGAATAAACAAAATGTGATTTATGCATACAATGGAATATTACTCATCCATGAAAACGAAGTATTGATAGGGGTTACAACATGGATGTCTTTGAAAAACTTATGCTACATTGATGAAGTAAATCACAAAGACCATAGATAATCATATTCCTGTTATATGAAAGTTCCGAGTAAAGAAATCTGTAAAGACAGCTTAGGGGTTGCCTAGAGCTGAGAATCGGAGAAAGAAAATGGGAAGATTGGGAATTATAGGTAAAGGGACAGGTTTTCTTTTTCTTCCTTTTTTTTTTTTGAAGTGGCAAAAATGTTCAAAAATTTAATATGGTAATGATTACATATATGTGTGAAGAAACTAAAAACCATTGAATTTTAACTTCAGTGAGGTGCAGTGTTTAGTATGTTAATTAAACCTCAATAAAGCTGATCATATAAAAAAATAAGTGCATTAAAAGTTTTGCAAGGGAAAAGAGTTTTGCAATCCAATCTCTCAGGCATATTAGTTTCCAGGTTAATTAACACATCCCTCGCTTTACATAATTACTTTGTGTGTATGGTGAGAATGCTTGTTAATCCACAGTCTTAGAAAATTCCAAGTATATGATACAATATATGTATATCAAATCATCACACTGTAATCTTTAAATATAAACAGTTTGATTAGTCAATTATATGGCAGTAAAGCTAGGGGTTGAAAAGTTTCCAGGTGCTTCTCATTTACATAACCATTTAATTTTTTATTATATTATTAAAAATTAGAAATAATTGTCTTAGGGATATGATAGTGGTTCATCTTTAAAAATTCTCTAGGGACTGATGCAAAAACTGGTTTAAATTCCCTTCCAGTGTAAAATGTACACCTGAGAATGTAATGAACACATCTCACCCCTTGAGAAGAGTCCCTGAGCCCAGGCTGGGGCTGCCAGGTTCCAACTTCCCACCAGAGCCAAGTGCTCTGGGCTTCCTTCTCTTAAGAACCAAATGAGTGGGGGTGGGGAAGGGTTGGGTGGAAGGCTCAAGGCTGGGAAACATCAAAGTTTGAAATGGAGCCAGACTCATCACTACAGATGGTGAGGTCACACTAAGTGTCACAGTTCCATGAGTGGGCTTGCAGCCTTATGCAGGGCCTTAACTCCCAGGGGACATAAGACCCTCTTGTTCTGCTGACCACGTGTATGTGAGTAAGGAGGCTTTGGCTAGAAAGAAATGATAAAGATTTATTCAGGGATCTTAGTCTGCAAACTGGAAACACAACTAGGCAAAATCCCAGAAGCGTTCTGAAGAAATAAAAAGTTAAGAGTTCTTAAAATCACAACCTGGAGAAAAATCGGTCCTGCATTCTCAGTGCTAGGATTGTGCCAAGATGGTTATCAGTCAGCTGTCAGGCGGTCTGGATGATAGATGCCAGGTGGGCTGGAGGATGGGCACCAGGAGGTCTGATGAAGTCCAGAATCCTTTAGGGGATAGTCTGAGGGTTGGTTATCTGCCAATAAATGAATGTTGAAGGGTATTAACATAGAGCTGGAAAGTTCAAAAGTTTAGGTTCCCAGGCTAGTTAATACAAGAAAAAGAATGGTTCTCTTATTCCTCAATCTTCTTAATGTTAATAATTTAGCAGCTTGGTCAAAGTGACTCCAATTTGTATTTTCTCTATCTTCACTCTTCCTGTTCCAATCAGTCCTGGCCTGGGGCACCCTTTTGTCCCTACTTGCTGCATCTGGAAACCAAATCAGGAATTCCCTGTGCATCCAAAGCCCTGGCCCCGACAAAGTTGAGAAAAACAGCACAGGGAGCCTCAGGCCAGGAAAAACTCCTGTTTAAAGCTAAATGTGCCAGGCTGGGTCAAGTTCCCGCCCACCAGCCCAGGCGCTTTCATCTTGGCTACACATCTTCCCTCTTGCTGTCAGTCAGGCACTTGGGGGCGTGGCCTTGAAAACTGTCCAATGAGGGCGCCGCTGGGGAAGGAGGGTAGGGCGGTGGCGCGCGGTGTGGAAGCGGGTGTACCAACTCGCTGCAGAGGCACTGAGCTCCGCTTGTTGCCTGCTCTTTACGTACCTGACAGGGCTGCAGGAGCGTCTGTCGCGCTGTGATCTGTACTGGAAGTAAGACTCATAGGCAGGACTCAGGGAGACCTAGGAAAGCTAGAAATGGTGAGTGTGGTGCTGGATACGGAGACTGTGATGAGGGGCTAGTTGGAACCAGTCAGAACAAGCTGTACCGAGACCGGCTTCCCAGTGGTCCACTGTTGAGTCCGCAGGGGGCGCTGCTCGGACCTAGTTCCCCCGGCCCACAGCGTTGGGACTGGCCTGGCAGCTGGGACCCCTGCCGTGCTGTCCCATCACTGCGTCTGGAGCATAGCTCTGCGCCTGCAGCCCCGGATCCGTACTAGTAATTGGCTTTTTTTTTTTTTTTCCCCCTGAAAGGAATAGGTATTTGTGGTTTTTTTAGTTGAAGTAGTAAAAGTGCCTTACAGTTTTCTTCCTTTCCACATATATGCTGCTTTTAAGTGATTTTGCTGGATTGTTCAAACGCTGGGTTTGTGTCATTTACAATGTCTGCAGTGGTTCAGGGAAACTCCAGTGGGGAGCAGAGGTCTGTGGTCAGTGACCCAAGCTAAAGCTCTCTTGACCTGCAAGAGGAAGCTCTTGAGGGCCCAGTGGTTCTCCCTGGGGAGCCTCCTCCTGCAGATGACTTACCTGCTCACACTCAACATGGAGGAGCCATGAGAGAAGCTACAGCCCTGGAAAGCTGGGTGTGCATGTGCACACGGGGGCGGGGGTGGGGGGGATAGGGGTAATGATTCCCTTTCTGAAGTGGTTTCCTTCAGCCTAGACAGTTTTAGACGTTTTGAGTTTTGCATCCACAGTATAGGTGCACTCAGTGTAATTTGTGAACATCGAGAAAGCCTGTGAAAGTAGGAGTTTTGTCTCGTGGACAAAGGGTTTATGAATTGGGGAGTTCATTTGGGTCAGAACTTAACCTGAATAAGGCCGAGAGGTTCCTCACTTGTGAGAATGGAAGCTTGAGGAAGGAGAGGGGAGAGTTCACTCCTGGGGCTGCTGAGATGTCCCACCCTCCTTCCCCAGGGACTGACCCACTCAGGGGTTCTGTCTCAACCAGAGGTGACTAGACCCCGAATTTGTGGTTATGTTCAACTTTCTGAATATGGATTTTCCTTCTGTCAACTAAAAGAACCTGAATCTTTGAAAATATTAGGAAGATCTTTTGGGGGGCCTATTTGAAGACTGTAGTCCAAGAGCAGAGCTTCAAGAAGCCTTGAAACAGTGCTCCAACTTTGGAAAAGTGGGGGCTCTTGTATAGGCAGAGGAGTAAGTGAAAGTACACCTGGTGCCTTAGAAGTTTCAGTTAGGGTACATAGGGTTCAATGATTAACAGTTTTACCTCAAATGGAAGGAACGCATGGGAAGATGAGGTTGGGTCTGGCACCAGGAAGTCTGGGATAGGGCCTGGAAATAATGAAGTGCTTTGCAGTAAAGTTTCATCTTCAGTGTTAAAACTATGTAAGTCTTATATTTGGTCACTTCTTGATCATCCTGTTAGTGCTTCTTTGTATGAAAGCAAGCCATGCAAATGCATATTTTTCTTACCCATGTTTCCTGTTGTAGTGATGATCAGGGTCCACTATTTGATGTTTGACTGGTGACAACTTGACCCCTGCCCCTCCCTTTCCCCCTGGTGCTTCTTATGTGTCAGACTGATGAGGACCTGGAGACCCCTGCGCTGAGCTGCTGCTTGCTGGGGAGCCCTCCTGACAGCTGTGCTGCCCTGAACTGTGTTGTGGACCCACCAAGCCTGAGGCCTGTATACTCAGGACTCCTAGAAGGCAGTTTAGTCATTCTTTGACTCTAAGGAGCAGCAGTGTGGTATTACAGAGGTCTTGAGGTCTTGCCTGTTGCATCCTAATAAGCTACTTGTTTTGAAAATACCCATCATGTGACATACAGGGGAAGGCCAAAGTGGGATGCAACTTGTCCTTTTAGTTAGCAAGAGATTTGAAATTTTTCATTCTGTATCGTTTATATTTTTGTAACTGTTAGTGTTGAAAGGGATTACATCTTAGAATGGTTTCATACGTACAGAGTTAAAATGAAAGAAAGATTAGAGGATAGTAAAATATGGTATATATAAACTTCTGTTTATTTTAAATAAATCTAGAAGATAGACAAGTCTGAGATAGACAAGTAAGAAGACTCACTGCCCACATATCCTGGCCCCTGAGTTTAGTTAGTCCAGCCATCCCCAAATACAGTTTTTATCATTTGTTGAGCCTCTTCTTAGTGTTTTTTAAAATAACAACCAGCCTTTGGAATGCCTGGTATTTTTTACCCATATTTGTCCTTGTAATAAGCTGTCAGACTCCATGATTTTGTTGTGTGCTGCAGCTTAAGCCCCCTCCCCCTTCCCTGGGTGCACCCCGGACAGGTTTAGGAGAAAGTCGGGGCGCCCTCCTCTTGCACTGGCTTCAGGTTCCAACCACACACACTCCCCTGTCTGTGAGCCGAACTCTGGCTCTGACCCGCCCCCGACAAGGATTCTTTGCATGAACAACTTTACTCCGGCTCCCGAACCTTCTCCCGGGCCTATCGTCGTCGCGCGTCCTTGTGAAATCCAGTTTCAGCAAGAACCCTGGAGTCACATGAACCAGAGCCCCCTCCTATCTGATCCCCTCCATATCTGGTCAGTTTCCTCTTCTGCACCGTCAGGTCTGTCTGCAGTCGGAATCCTGTCGGTCGGTTTAGCAGGAACCCCTAACCCTGATTTTCTCTCAGTGATTTTCCATCCACTGACGACCACCCTGCTCTCTGGCCGTGATCCCCGCTTGCCCTTGCTGTGCTGGGAGTGGGGCCCGATCCCATTTCTCCCCTCCTTGAAGTCCCACCACAGTTGTCTCTGTATCTATCGCAGTGGTTCTGAATAAAATCTGCCTTTCCATCTTTCAAAAATTGAATATTTTTTCTGTAACACCCCAGCCACAATAAAATCGCAGGCTATTCTTTTTTTCTGTTTACTCTCAAGCCATTTCAGAGCTGCTTGAGAGGCCAGCCCTATGACCCCAGATATCTCAATTATGTGAGTCATAACCTTTTCTTATACTAGGTGTGTGTGTGTGTTGGGTAGGAGTAGGGGTCACACTAGAATCTGTTTCAGCCTGGGAACCACGCCTCTGCCCAAGTGTCCATAACAATTGACTCCTTTAGTATGTCCCCACGTGACCACTCCGTGGGTCCATCTTGTCTGGCTCCGACCTGCATGCCTGGTGGTGGCCACACTGTGTGGGCTGCCGAGTGCTGGGGAGCTGGGGTTGTGAGCTGTGCTGTCCTGTGTGGCAGCGCTGACCCCGCTGAACCCCAGTTCTGTGTGCAGCGGGCCAGAGCGCGCAGTTTCGAGAATTCCTAGGCCTTTGGGCGCAGGCGTGTGGGGCGGGGCCCTCCTGCAGGTGGTACATATCTATGGTGGGATTTGTGGGTGTGTCAGAGTGTTAAGTTGTGACAGAGGCTGGGTTGACTCTGACGTCGCCGGGGGAATGGGAATGAAGAAGGGAGACTACACCCTGTGCAAGAGGTGGGCCCATCTGCGGGTCACCCCTGAAAGAGCAGTAGTTTAAGAGAAAGTGAGAAAGAAGATGGAGAAAGGCAGCCAGCAGGTGGCGGGCTGAGTCCACACCCTAACGCCGGAGGACTCCCCAGGTTCCTTACGCACCTCTGCTGCTGCTGCTGCCCCTGCCACTACTGCAGCACAGATCCTGACCCTCGAGGTCAAAAGGAAAACACCCATGGCCTCACTGTGGCACAGCAAAGAGATTAGTTGACTTCCACTTAGGTCTTTAAATTCTATAAAGCAACCATTGTCGTGGGGAGGCTACTAACCCTGATGGCACTGATTGGAGGCTCTTGAGCCAAAAATATTTATAAATACCAGTGTAGGTAGGTAGGTTTGACTTAACTATGAGAATTATGATTTTACCTAAATTTCTCACAGTCATAGCACTTACTGTCCTAAAGTATCACATAGTGAGCAGGGAAGGTCCAAACCAGTGATTCATAAACTAAACTAATATTAACTCTTTGCACTTCCAAATTTGCTTCACAAAAAGAGACCCAGAGAACCTAACCCCTAGTTAAATTACTTAGTATGGCCCAGAGCGAAGTAAACAGGGCCTGGAAGAGTTGAAAACTATTATCAGAAACGTTGTAGGAAGAAGTGATTATCTCCAGTGCTTCTCTAATAGTCCAAGTTATCCTGATCTTTAGCCTGGAAAGAATGGATGACACCCTACAGTGGATGAGCACAACCTGAAGGCTGTGGTCACACCAAATAAGCCTCTGTTCCCAGTCCCCAGCATTATGGAAATTACCGACCTCATCCACTCAGTAACTGGTAAATATCCTGCCATCACAGATTTGACTGTGTTTGTTCTGCTTGGCGCCTATTTCAACAGCCTCTCAGCTGCAGCTGGCCTTCATCTGTGAAGGGACATGATGTACCTTTACCTGGTTCCCCTTAGGGAACCCCAGCACCACTGCCACCACACACAGTCTGCAGGCAGGATCTGAACTGCAGCCACCTTTCTCCAGGAGCACAAATATGTCGTGATACTAATGACATTCTCCTCTAAGGACGTTTGTGTGACATTCATTCAGAACATACAAATATTGAACAAAAGGAGCTCCAAAAGCACATGGGCCATTGACTCACACATAATGTGAGGCCCTGACACCTTGGTTCAATTCCTGAAAATTGTTTGGTAAAGAAAGGCTGCTCCCTCCCTGACACTGTGAAGAAATAGTGATGTCTCTCTCAGCACATACAGACCTAGGTGATTTTGGTGTTCTGGAGGCATCCTATTTCTTGCTGACAAATTGGACTTGAACCCATTTGTACTCTTGCAAACTGGCTCACCTTGAATTAGCATCTCTACCATAGAAGGCTCTAGCTGTGTTCACATTGCCATGCAACAGGCACTCTTGTTAGTGTCCCCCAGCCTCCTTCACGACAGAGGGTTTAATGACCTCCTCTCCTGCCTCCTGGAGTTACCCGTGAAGGCCTTAAGTTGTCTGTAGGCTTCTGATGCAAGAAATTGCCCTCTTCAGCCCCACATTCTATGTCATGAGAACTGTAATTACCACCC